TATAAGAGTAAAAAGAAAAAAAAAAGTTAGGCGGTGAAACAATCCAATTCCCATGCAAACCAAAGTCAAACAAATACATTTCATTTGCACGCAAAGAGAAACAAAAATGGAGAGAAAGAAAGAGAAAAAAAAAAGAAAGAGAAGAGAGAAAAGAGAAAGGAAAAAGAAGGGTAGAAAAAGGGGAAAAAAAAAAAGAAATTTTTTGCCAACGTGTTAGGAATTAAGTGGTCTACATTATTAGGCTTGAATTCCTCAATTTTGAAAGGTAAGTAAAAAGTTACTTATTGTCAAGTTATGTTTGATTTTATAATTGTTAAATTGTTATATTAAATTCAATTTTATTGAAGGTGTTAAGTATAATAAACTATGAAATTGAGTAAAGTGAAAGAAAAACTAGTTTTAGTTATTAAAGAGACTGTAGAAATCGCCTAAACATGAAATGATTAAATTTGGGTATCGCCTATTTAATTATTGAAATTATTTATAATAATTAATTGTTTATTTAAAAATTATATCGTATTTCAGGCGACAATACTGATATCAAAACAGCTTACCAATCGGGTTGATTTTGCGAACATAGTACCATGAGTGGAAAAATATAAATATTTTAAAAGTATTTATAAATTAAGTATATTGTTAAAGTATGTGTAATTATATGCAATTATGTGTTCGAATTATATGGTTATTATGGAAATATCTTTTATTATGATACATGTGGAATTTCAAGGATTATTTATTGTATGTTTGTGACTTGGTATATGAGACGTGATATTGAGATTTGTTCGGTATGTGAGATGTGATATTGAGATCGACCAGAAAAGTACCCGTGATTATGTACTTCTTCTAATTCACTGAGGGGTCTTGGCCATGTTTTATCCTACACGGAGGGTTTTGACCAGATATTGGTCTCAATCGTGTACATATAGTTCATAGAGAGACCTTGGCCGTGTTCTAGAATTGATTACCAGAGGTTTTTGAGACCGACTTTCGTTCACGGAGGAGGCAAAGGCCCGTGGCGAAAGTTCTTAGCCCAAGGGACGGATTATATAGTTAAGTCAGAGGGTACATTTTTTGTAAATTTTTCAGCACGTTTGATGTAATAAAATTATAGCATAGTTATCGTCTGATATTTATATCATGATTTTGAGATGATATTTTACGACCTTATGTGAATATTTCACTTTTGTTTATAATTACATGATGTTATCTTATGAATTATTAAATGATATGAACTCGATTTTCGATAGAAATGTAAAATTGAAAAAGTATAATTATTTTCGAACTTCTCTACTCGCTGAATTATCAACTCATATATTTTCCCACGATTTTTCCTACAGGTAGCAATTGATTCTTTTTAGCTGGAAGAGCTTAATGATTTTGGAATGAGAGTCACACGACATGTTGAATATTATAACTCATATTGATGAAACACGAAGTAAATATTTTGGGCCCATCGCATTATATTTTATATAAGCATTTGATTTTGTTCCATTTTTTTGAAATAACTCATAGTCAATCTTGGTGATAGATTTGACATCTAGTCAGCATCTATTATCGGGGCACGTCACGTTTAGGTCCACTAGGGTGAATCGGGACGGGTCGTGTCAATTCTATTCCCGACTCTCATAAGGAAGCTAAAATATCATTAAGCATGGTATGATAAGTTGACAACTGAAATTGTCATAGATTCTCTTAGAAGTAAAGAAATAAAAATTAGGGTTGAAAACGTGATAAAAAAAAAAAAAGCGGTGAGTTACATATAATGCAAGGTAGAACTCAGTTTAGGCAAAACTGTCCCGATAGATACAAAAGTGGTGACGAGTCGAGTAGTAATGGATGGAAGAAGAAGGACAAGGGTAGGTCAAGATCAAAATCTAGGACTAATACTAGAAAATGCTATGCATGTGGAAACATAGGACATTTTACAAAGAATTATCATAAAGAGAAGGGTAAGCTAAAGATTAAGGAGAGAGACGAGGTCAATGTGTTATCCTCTACTTCCGATATAGATAACGATGGGGTCTATATGATTACAAGTCTCGTTGCACATTCTACTGAATTGAATCTAACTGCTAATTCCCGCATGCAAGAGTGGATACTTAATTCTGGTACATTTTTTTCATTTGACATCTAAAAAGAATTAGTTTGACAACCTGCATTAATCTAATGCTGGGCATGTTGTGCTGTGTGATAACTTTGCCTATACGATTGCTGAAATTTGTGACATAAATATAAAATTTAACACGGGTTTGTGTACATATTAAAGGACGTTAAATATATTTCTGAATTATCTAGAAATTTGATTTCAGTAGGGAGACTTGAAAAAGATGATTTCACTGGTAAAATTGGAAATGAGATGCTAAAAATGATTAATGGTACATTAGTCTCCATTCAGAGAACTAAGAAAAATGACATTTATATTACTATTGGGGAAGTAATTAGAGGTTTGAACTCCTCTATCTCTTCTGCCAAGGTTGATCACACACATACATGGCTTAATAGGCTTGCACACGTAAGTATTAAGGAACTTAAGCTACTTAATGAGAAATGTGCATTTGGTAATGACTGTGTGTTTGATTTGTCATTCTGTGATCACTGTGTGTCTGGTAAACATCACAAAATATCGTTCTCCACTAGTGTTCGTTAAGTTAAAGGCATGCTTGAATATGTGCATTTTGATCTATTGGATCCTGCTAGTAATCTCACATCGGGTGGAAATCAGTGGCGAATTTAAGGCTGCCCTAGTTGGATTCGTCGAATTTTTTTTTTATTTTTTATTTTTTTCTGTTGATAATAGATAAAAATAAAATAAAATTAGGTAGTAGTTTATTTTATTTTAAAACCCCTCTTTTGCTTAGTTGGTTAGAGCTTGCATTTTTATATTACAAGTCTTGGGTTCGATTCCTTCCCGTCCATTTCATTGTGAAAATTTTTTATTTGTACAATATTTACCAAAATTAATTCCCCAAGGAAATGATTTGAAACTATACCTTCTAATTTGGATGATTGGAAGCTTAACCATTGTGGCAATGATTGAATTTTGAATCTAAATTTAACAAAATAATACATGTTAAGATTCTAGGTGAGTCAATGACTTCCTTTTTTTTTTTTTTTGTCATTTCAAATATTTTATGCTTTAATAATTTATAAGATATGACTTATGAGTATTGAGTTTTAATTTATATGTTATTTGAGAATTTGTCTATTATGAATTGTGATACTAAAAATTAATTTGAGTATCGTGAAATGTGAATATGTGATTTATGAAAATTGAAAATGAGAATTTGGAAAATTTGTAATTTGTAATGAATTGGTATTGAGAACTGGAAATTGAAACTTTAACTATATTTTAAAATTAATTTTAATTACATTTAATATTTGATTAACGTTCAATTCTCATACTGATTATGGAATAATTTTTTCAATTGAATCTCAATCTAGTTCTTGTAGTGGTGTATCTAATCTCTCAACTACTTTAGTCAAGCAAACAATTTGTTAAGCATTGATAACACAAAGAAGTTTTATGTACTATGTAATTTATATTATTTCGAATTGTATTGAAATATAATATGATATAAATATACGATTTTTATGTTTTAGTGTATTTACATATAGATCGAAAAATTTTTAATATTATTTTATTTAATATTAATAGACGATATCGTTGTACGTCCATTGACTATCGATAGTCAACGGTCAACAATCAACAGCCGTCCTAGCTGAGTCGAAATCTTGGATACGCCTCTCTGGAAATAGGCATTTCCTGTCTATTATCGATGACTATACTAGGAAAGTGTGAGTCTATATATTAAAAGATAAATTTGAAACTTTTCATAATTTTAATAACTAGAAGAGACAAATGGAAAACCAAAGTGGTAAAAGGACCAAATTTTTTAGAACAGATAATGGCTTAAAGTTTTGCAACATTGAATTTGACCGTATGTGTAAAGAAAATGGAATAACAAAACATAAGACGATTCCTTACACTCCCCAGCAAAACGTGGTAGCGGAAAGGATGAATAGGACCATACTTGATAAAGTGCGTTGCATGATGTTAAGTTCTAGTGTCCCTAAATTGTTTTGGGGTGAAGCTGTTATGACTAGTTATTATTTGATTAATTTGACTCCATCTACTGCATTAAATAGTGATATTCCACATGAGAGGTGGTCTGGTAAATTGAGTGATTACTCTATACTTAGAACCTTTAACTGTGCTACTTTCTCTCATCAAAGTGAGGGAAAATTTGAACCTAGAGCTAAAAAGTGTGTCTTTTAGGATACCTCGAGAGTGTTAAGGGTTATGGGTTATGAGATAGAAGTCAAAGGGGAGTTAAGATCATCGTGAGTAATGATGTCACATTTAACGAGGGTGAGATGCCTTGTCTTAAAGGCGAAACCGAACTTGTGAGTGAAACTGAACCAGATGAAGAGAGAGATCAGTTTAAGGTAGAGTTAGGAAAACTTAGTACATCTGCCCTTACTACTCCAAATGAGATGGAGATTCAAGTTCAAGAATCTGAGGTGGAGAATAGTAACGAAGTATTGATAAGAGCATCCTGAGAAAGACAATCCTCCAGCTATTTACAACTTAGTTAGGGATAGAAAGAGGAGACAAATGAGAGAACCTTGGAGGTTTGGATATGAATTTGAGTTAGCTTTCGTCCATGCTAGTTACGAAGAACTAGTTGATAAAGAATCAAAAACCTTTGAAGAGGCGATGGGTAGTGATGAATCTAAGGAGTAGCTTAAGGCGATGAAAGAAGAGATGAATTCTCTAGAGAAGAATCAGACTTGGGAGCTAATACCTAGACCTAAGAATAAATCGATCGTCAATTGCAAATGAGTCGTTAAGGTTAAGGAAGGTATCGGTAACTCAGAACCCTTAAGGTTTAAGGCTAGGTTATATCTTATTTCACCATAACAAATTTATAGATGTTATTGTAATAAGTTGTCTTCCTTCATGATTCCTAAATACAAAGAAAATGGCATTCAGCATTAAACACTCTCTAGTATCATTGTCCCTCCGCAGTTAAGCTATTTATGTTATACATATGAGTTAAAGAATGTAAGCCCCTGTTTGAGTCCCTCTTTTCGAAAATAAATTTTGTAAAATACGATTTTTTTTTTTTTAAAAGAACGTGTAGTTAGAAAGTATGTATATGAAAAAATATTATATTGGGAGAATGTGTACTTGAAAATGAGTTTTGAAAAAAAAAATAATTAAATGGGGCTCTGACCTGTGCTAATTTTCTGAAGTTTGTATATACCACAAAAAAGTAACTAATATCAAACATTATTTTATGGTTCAAGTGACTGCTCAGGATCAATCTAATGTCTTATATAGGATAAGAATTAAGAACCATATAAATGTTCTAATTTCTATTAAACTTTTTCTTGTAATTGAAATACTCTATAAATCGTTTGTCATATATGAAGATTCTAAGGGATTGATTGAATATTGCACACACTTATAAAGTCACTTTAAAGTTTGTTCTTTACTTACTTTTTACTTTGCCTTTTGCTTTTCTTATCTACGTATTGGGAAGCTTAACTTATCTAGAGACATTCTTTCGATTAGGATTGCACGGTTGGAGTTGTTTGATGCATTTGTAGAGTCCCATACGATGCACGCAAGTGTTTTAATGCTTTTCTGCCGTGACTGGAAGACACAAACAATGAAGGATAGATGATACAACTTCAAAACTGTTTCATCTTTGATCTATCGAGCCTTCTCCATATAATGACTTACTGGATTGATGGTGTTCATAATCATACCCAAAACCGCAAAACTTCACAAAAACAATGCACCTAGTGATATGACAATGTTAGGAATTTGTGCTTCAAATAGGCTTCAGAGGTAAAAATACGTAGGTAGATACTATATGCACTGTTTAAATTTTAAACTTATTATAGGTTTATGTGTGACATTGCATTGAATTTATCCAATAGGCTCGGAAGCTTGGCAACATAGTCTCTCGTATCCTTCCAGGCATGTTATCCCCCGTTCAATGAAAGATAAAGCTTTTTTTTTTTTTTTTTTTTTAAACTAACCAAAGACCTCTTTCTTTACTGACAACAGAAGATGCATAGAATACTTTCAGTAGCACTATCCTTGTCCAATTTCAATAGTATATCGTGATGAAAAATTATTACGTCTGGCATGGCGGTCTAAGCTACCAAATAGGGTGTCTGCACCAGTATTTAGCCATATCTAAGTTTCCAAAAGGAAAATGATTTGTGTGGATTCATCTATACCTGTATTATTTGACTTGGATAGAGAGGCCCTTTCTTTTAGCTAGCTGTTTTTGGGGAAAAACGTGGTAGGGACCCCCCTCAGTGCACAAAAATGTGCCATTGTATTGGCTTTGTTGGATTTTATTATGTGGGAAAAATAAAAAACATTGCATGGTTGATTCCTTTCCTCTCTTTACATATCCCTTTGCATTGCCCTTTTGTTACTACTTGTTATCAATTGGACCATAATGCAATTTGCTGTGTTGAAAGGGCACTGGACCTGAATAAGCAAGGAAGGTTTTATCACTATTACAGTGCAACCATATTGCTCGTTCATAAGGTGGCTGTAAAATGTTAGACAATAATAAATATGAAAAGAAAACGAAACAAAGTTAAAAAAGCAGACTCGAGTAATATTGTATACAAAACGTGCACTGTTTGTGTTGCTGTAATCAATAATTACGACAAATAGTGGAAATCCGGTAATGTTATTTCCTTTCATACTCGATCTTAATGAAGTGGAAAGAAAGGATTCAAAAAAAGGTAGTTGCACCAAATGTGGGGTTGGAATACATTAATGCTCAAGAAGGAATTATTTGAGGTGGGCCTTGACCAACTTCACCCTTTATGTTCATCTTTTTAGGAGAAAAATGAAAAAAGATAGATAGTTCCATCATTTTCGGTAGACTGCAGCCGGTGTCATATTTTCTCTTTCAATTTTTCTCTACCCTCTAGGCTCTGTTT